AGACTGGAAGTCTGTGCTGTTGGTAAAGGTTGTGATTTCATTCATTTCCCTGTATTTCAGAAAAGTTAGCAGCCCCATCGCCAAAACCTTTTTGCTACTTATTAAAAGAAAAATAAAAGAATTTTCATTAAAATTGAGCAATTCAACTCTGAAAGGAGGATTATAGCAAAATGCTCTTGACCCTCTCTCAAAAAAAGAACAGGCCTACATTTGAGGAATGCCAAATGATTCTCATTAAAGTCACGAGAATATTTTCAGTGACATGTGTCTGACTGACTTTAACTTAGTTGGCAGAAATCATGGCAGCCAGAGACCCAAAAATAACACAGCCAGCAGTTCCTGCTCAAACACACCTAAAAGATCTATTTCACGTGGCTTCGAGGATGCCCCACCCTAAACAGACTGGGTCTAAGGTCATATGCAAATCGTTGTGGCATTAAACATACATTCCTTGTGACAGTATCAACAGGTTGCATTTAATAGACTGAGTTTTTCTAGCTCCTCCTTTATAAAATTCACACTAACTTGAACAGAGGAGCTGAGGGATTTCGTTGATTCCAGCCGCCGCCCCATCTCACAAGCTAAAGTTATTTTTAACTTACAACTATTGCTGATAAATATTTTTTGATGGAAAAAAAAAAACCTATCAAAAAGAGAAACTATGAAAGACAAAATACAATTGCATTTCAGGGAGGAATCTATCCTGGGCCAAAACTTTAATAAATGTCATCTTGGATCAGCAATAACAGTGCACTTCCTTTCTATCAGGTTTTTCACAGTCTGTTTCTAGAAACAATTTCTCTAAATAGCCTTATGAGGCAGTGGACAGGCTAAAATTGTGCCAGGGTTACCTTTGACAATGCAGTCTTCTGGCCAGAATAAGGTCTGTTTCCAAAGTTCAAGTGCAATAAATAGTATCTAGTAATATGCAAACTATCATGTCATCGTACAATTTGCTCCAGTAGAAATGTTTTCCCATATCTGGAAATTAGCTGAGTGAGTACAGTCCATGCCGTCAAAACAGAATTTGGTGAGGGAGACAGACATGGACTGAACCAAGGAAAAGATGGTGGTAGGAACTTTGCAGAAAAATAACAATAGCTGCCACTGGTGTTGGCACTGTTACAGGTACTTTACGTATAGTGTCTCAGGAAAGACTCACAACACCCGTTGAGGTCAATACTATCATTCCCAAACCACAAAGGAAGAAAGTGAAGCACAGAGAGGGTCCCGTAACCATTTAAATGGGGAAATTGCTTTGAACCCAGTCTACCTGGCTCCGAGTAGGACTGGAGACAGACCTGAGAACTAGTTCAGTAACAGCCTAACAGGCTATTCCACTTTTCTGAGCCTCAGTTTCCTCATCTGTAAAATGGGAATGTAAGTATCTAGTCCCTGGGTTTTTTCGAGGAGAGCATTTGCCAAGTGCTTGGTACAGTAGCTTCAGCACAGCCAGCATCTATCATCAGAGGACATGCACATTAAGACCTTTTTTCCTATGATGCCATCTTTTTACCACCTTCTTGATTTGCCTCACCAATTAGGAAGGCACCACTGTTGGAGAATTCAGCAATGTAGGATAGGACTGCGGGTTGCCAGTCCTCTCTCTCCCCACCTTGCTACGTCCTTAGTAGTAATAAGATGCCAATGGGGAGGGCCTGGGCATGACAGCAACCCAGGGTAGTTTGACATTTATTGAGCTATTGATTGATTGCCTGTCATGACCAGGTACCGTGCCAGGAACTATGGTGACCAAGCCACAGAGACACAGCCCCACCAACAAGGATCCCCAAGGCCCCAGGAGGAGAAGGGTGCATAACCACACACCCAGAGTCCTCCCTGCCATCTATGGCACAAAGTTGTAGGGGAGATGCAGCAGATAAGTGTGGGAGCCCGAAACTCACAGTCATGGTCCTCATGTTGTATGCACAACTCGGGCCATCTGGCTATTGCTCCTCCTCCCTTTCCACCCGCCCCCCAAGTCCGTGCCTTGGGAAATGCTCGGAGTGTCCTTCTGCCTCTCTATCTTCAGGCTGAAGCTCGGACACTGATACGTTGCCTTTGTGATTATTCAGGGTTTAGCCACGATAGCTTCCCATCACAGAGCCTTTGCGAAGTCAAATCAGCACCCGAGATGAAGGTAACTGTCCCAGACATGACCGAGCACAATCTTTATCTTAAGGGTTCAGCATAACAAGGCTGCAGTTGAGACGCCCCCGTGTTGGAGGAAGTGTGATGTTAGATTTGTGGGAAATCTGAAACAGTCAGTCACACTTCATAAAGGCTGGGTTCAGATACAATGACCACATTTTTTTTTTAGGAGAAGAAAACTGAAGAACTAGAAATAAATCCTGGAGCTTCCTGAGATTAGTCCTTAGGCAAAAAGACAAGGACCAAAAAAGTTGTGATTTCCTACTTTGTGGTTGAAATTTTAGAAGTTTAAAAAAAAACTTTCACAAACTTTCAGCCACTCAACCATTGGTAGTAGTCAGCTGTGGACAGGATGATGCTGTGTAATAAAAGACCACAGTCATCTCAGCAACATTCAGCAATGCAGTTATTTCTTGCTAATGAACCTGGTGGAAAACTGGGGCATCTGTTGTATGTGTCAGTATCTGGGACCAAGACTTTAGAAATTGTGGCTAGCAAGGCTATGCCCTTGGCATTGGCAAGAGCACAAGAGGAAAAACCCAGACACACAAGCTCACATCCTATCCTCTGCTCATATCACACCCACCAGCCTCCCGTTGGTCACAGCAAGTCACATGGCCAAGCCCAAGGTCAAGCATCAGGGAGGTTACATCACTAAGAAGTCATGGCCAATGCGGGTGCATAATGACCAATGAGGGGGAAAGAACTGCTACCAATAATCCCACTTACTACACTTTCTAAACAATGCGGAAAGGCAGGCATGACAGGCTTCCTTCATTCTTGACAGCCAGAAAAAATGAGCTCACGTCATTTACCCAGGCTGGACAGGCAGTGCTAGCAGAACTAGAATTGAAACCTTCTGCTTTCTGGGTTCTACAGAGCTGTGGCTCACTCACATGTAACTAGCATAATCTTTAACAATCATATCCCTTACTAGGTTTCTTTGCAGATGTCAGTTGCCTCCAATAAAGGTCAAGATGGTCTCATCTATTAGCATGATCACGGCGTTTAACATTTGCATGGGAACTCGTACCATGTTTTTACAAGCTTTTTTTTTTTACTATTACTGCACTAATAAATTATTTATGGTAGGAAACTTAAATCAAAAAACCCTGGCTTCTTGAAAACAGACTTTAGGAAAACCATCTCCTGCTCCTTCCAGTATGTTCCCTTCCTGGGCATTCAAATTTCTTTACTTATTTTGAGTCTGAAAGATTGCACGGAATTGGTGAGGCAGAAGATACTGATGTCCATAAGAGGAAAGAGCAGGGAAGAACCAAGTCAGAAGCTAACTCTTGCACATGGAATCTCTCCTCTGTTATTGTATGGGATGGAATGGGCAAATGGATCAGCCTGGAAAGCATCCTAGTCACAGGTCATGAAGGGTAAGGAGCTCACCATAATAGCTGCATCCCACGTCCATTTACTGCTCCTGCAACAAATAGTTCTTTAAGGTCTACTCTGGACCTGGCAGTGCTGGGGCTGGGATGTCCCTCCAGCAAAACCCACCAGCTCTCCCGGAGTTTATTTTGCAGAGAGAGATTGTTTCAGTCAATCAATAAAAGTAAACAGTGGCTTCAGATTCTACTAAGGGTTGTGACAAAACTAGCAGTGTAACCTTGGGTAAGTCACTGACTTTCATCTGCCTTGGGGCCCTCATCTGAAAAACCATGTAACTCCCACCCGGCTGCCCACAGCGATTGTGGGACTTTAGATACTAAACTAAGGTCTGTGAGGGCCTCCTGCACAGGTATAGAGGGCGGCCTGGGCCCTAAAAGCATGCACAGAGGGACCTTTAGTCCCCATCCGTGAGCCCTGGCACAGCATTCCAGACAGGGCCTCTTTACCTTCATGCTCACGGCAACTAAGACTCCTCGCCTGGTATTTTCCCGAAGAGGACTAAAGGATGCTGCACAGCCCGGAGGCGACGAGCACAGCAGGTCCTCAAAACAAACCCAAGAAAAGCCCAATCCCAGAATCCTGAAGAAGGTTCCGACAGCGAGTGGAGGGAAGACACCCCTTCCTGGCTCCTGGAAGCGCTAGAACTTTCACTTTAACACTTGACGCGCGGGGCGGCCGGGGCCTGCGCGGGTGGAGACTGCTCGAGCGGGTTGGAATTCCCCGTCTCCACTGCCCGGCGCGGACCAGCCACCGCCCGGCCATCCTCTCCTCCTGCCTTCGCTGTCAGGTGTGGCCGGCCTGACAGCAGACTCGCTAACCACAGCTCGGGGCAGGGTGGGGTGAGGGACTGTCCCTCCTGCACCCCAGAGCGGGGTTCGGGCAGCGAGGGGGGCCTGGAGGTTGCGCGCCTGCTCCGGGGGGGCTGTTCCGAGCGCGGGGCTGGATGCTGACAGCTGCGGGGTGGGAGCGGGGTCTGCTCCTCCGCACCCCAGTGGGCAGAGACCCAGACACGGGCTGGGGCGCCTCCTCCCTGCACCTCGCGAACCTGAGCGCGGCCGGGGCATCGGCCGGCCTCGCTCTCCCGGGGGCGGCCGCAGGGCCCCGGGGGTCACGGGGGAGCGCCGCGGCCCGGAGCCCGGGGGCAGTGGGAGCCGCAGCCCGCCGCGCGGCTTCAAGTTTCCACCGGCCCGCGGTTGTGCAACCGCCGAGAGCCGCGGGAGCCGCCGGCGCCCGGGAAAACAAGCCGAGCCCATAAACAAAGCCACGTGGCCTCGGGGTGGGGGGGCGGGGGGCGGGCTCAGCGCGGGCGGCTCTTCCGGCAACAAAGAGCCCGGCCGGCGGCCGCGATAAATACGGCGGCCCGGCCTGCGCGCCCCACTCCGCGAGCCCCGCGCCCGCCTCCCTCCCGGCGCTGCGCCCAGGGCGCGCAGGTCCCCGGCTCCGCGCCCCGCTCCGCAGCTTCCCGGCCGGGTCCCCGCGCCCGCCGCTCGCCCGCCCGCGCCCGGAGCATCCCCGAGCGGCGCGTCCCCGAGGCCAGCGGGCCGGCCCCGTGCAGCAGCCCGTCGCGCCCACCCGCCGCAGCCGCGCGCGGTGCCATGCCCTTCCTCGGGCAGGACTGGCGGTCCCCCGGGCAGAGCTGGGTGAAGACGGCCGACGGCTGGAAGCGCTTCCTGGACGAGAAGGGCGGCAGCTTCGTGAGCGACCTCAGCAGGTGAGGCGTCCGCCGCCGGCGCGAGCTGCGCGCACCAGCCCTGGCTGGTCCCCGGGGCGCGCAGCGGTCGAAGAGGGGCTTGGCAGGGCCGAGACAGAGGCGGGGTAGACCCTGAGCGAGGCGGGCGGTCACTTGCCCGGGTGTCTGCAGAGGTCACCGGGATTGGGGGGGTTGGTTTCTCCTATTGTTCAAGGTCAGCGTCTCCGAGCGGGCAGTGCGCCTGACCCGACCCTCTGCGGAGCGAGCAGCAAACGCGGGTCTTGTCTCGCCCCCACACACCCCCACCCCCGGGCTCAAACTTAACAGAACTTCGGGGATCCCTGGCCTGAAACAACGGAGTCGGCGCAGTTGGCGCGCGCGGGGGCGCGGACCCGCGAGCTGCGCGCAGGGCACCTTCCGGCGGGGGGCGCAGCCCCCGGGCGCTGTGGACACCAGGCAGCCGGGCCGTAATGTGCGGGTCCAGCCCCAAGAGCCTCCAGGCTCGTCCCACGCGCGGCAGCCAGAGTGGGCAGGGAGGATGAGTAACAAGAAGAAGCGGCCAGATGGCGCGGGGTGCACCGGCGCCGGGGGGCCGGCAGGGGAGCAGTGGTAAAGCCAGGGGCCGCGAGGCTGGGCAGGGGCAGGGATGCAAACCACCCACCGGCTTCTGGGAGGATGAAGCTTTTGCACCTGTTTCCTCAGTTCCTTCGGTTGCTCTTCTTTGTGTAGTGCGTGCACCCCCATTTCAAGTCGTACCTGTCGACTTCAGAAAGCCCACCTGGCTCCAGGACCCAGGTGTGGCTCCAGAGCTCTGCCAGCCTGGCGGAACGTCCGAGATTCGAGGGTTATGGACCCTGCTTGGTCCATAACACAGAGCAGTTAGGTGCTCTGGAATCCATCAGTTCCGGACCTCAGCCCTTGATTTCCAGATCCTTCATTTGGCCCCGGTGAGGGGAGCAATGAAAGCGGTTCCGGAGATGATCAGTGCAGCCTGGTCACCCTTGGGTGCCTTTTCCACTGCCTTGGGTTGAAAAGTATGCGCTTCCCCCCACCCCCACCCCGGATGCCCTTAAATTGACTTCACTGGAGAGCTCTGTAACTGGGCCTGGTTCCCACTTACTGAGATTTACCAGGGGTTGTTTGGCGGAGCCCTTGGCACTCAATTTTTAGAAAACTCAAGAAAATGTGGTTATTTTGACCGCTTGACCTCCAGAGATCCCATGTGTTTGTAATTTGCAATGCTTCAAACTCCCTTTGTCTTCCAGTGGGGGAAAGAGGTGGGTATATGTGTGTGTGTGTGTGTGTGTCTACGTATGTAATCTGAGGGGTCTGTCGCCAAAGATCATAGTGGGCCTTTCTTAAAGATACTTTGAGGCAGTCCCTGAGAAGTTTGGGGAGCACTGTAAAAAATCTTATTTATGAAAAATCAGATGATTTACTTACCAGAAATAAGACCAACTGTTGTCACTGGACTTTGTCTTCTAGGGAGTCAGGTTACGGATCATGCCTAAATTATTCTCCCTAGCCTGGAAGCTCCCTTCCATTCTGGTAGAGTAGACCCCTCCTTCCTTCCTCCCTGCTCCTCAGGGAGGAAGGATGAGCTGATATTTTGGTACTTTCTTTCTGGATAACAGTTCAGATTCTCTCTAGAGAGGTCCAGTAGTGAACTGCTGAAGTGGGTCACAGTGGTTCATGCAGATGCTGTTGTAAGGTCCTCAGTAGGAAGCAGACCATTGGGTCCAGCAAAAGAGGATTCAAAACACAGAGCCCCTGGTTCCTATAAATATTCAGGCTGTACCTGCTTCAGGAGGTAGGCCAGTGTCACTCTCCTTTGGAAGGAGATGGTGCCTCTCTCCACTGGAAGGCCTGGGGATGGTTTTAACTTCCCACATAAAGTTAATCTAGGCTGGGATCTGGTTCCCCTCATTTCAGGCCCTCTGAGCTTGGAGCTGTGGGTCTCTGTATCACAGAGATGATCAATATAGTGAAGGCCTGGGGTTCTTGATGAGTCAGAATTTAGGAATCACTTGGGAGCTCCTAGCACAGCAGCTGGCTGTTTGTTTGCGGAGTATTTCCCCCCCCAGCAATTGTAAACAATCCCTTCCCTACTTAGCATGAGAAGTCTGCCAACTTCTTAAAAGTGTTGGCCTTCTGAGACCTGGGTTCCAAGTCTCAAATATCTCCACTGTTATCAGTCTCGGTGGTGTTTCTCTGTGATGTCAGGTTTGGGCTGAGTGCCTGCCTACACAGGTGAAGCTCAATGCCTCTCCTGTTAGGGGAAAACAAAAGACTGGCACTGACAAAGGGGGGGGGGTTGTGAAAGGACGACACAGGCAGAGTCTGAGCCCAGGGACTACACATCTCTAATTCCATGACCTCTGTGAGCTGCCCGGGGAAGTCATGGGGGTAGGGTGCTGGGGTGTGTTCAGCCTGGGGGTAGGGTTAGTGCTGTCCACAACTTGTGTGCCCAGCACATCTTTTCTTGACTCAACTGGCCACTCTCTCTGTGGTCCAGGGCTGGGTCCTCCTCCAGCAACTGAATATTACCAAGCCCATCACAGCTGCTGTGAACTGACATCATGGAGGTTTCCAAGAAACTTAAAACAGAGTCCCTTCTTAGCAAGTTGAAACTGTGTAAGATAGCAGAGGAGTGGCAAGTGATGACTTTAGTAGAGCAGGTTAAAAATTTAAGGAAAGAGCTTGGCATGAATTGGGGTGACCCAAATATTTCAAGGACGTGGTAGTTGAATCCCCTTACCACTGACCCCCCACCCCTCAAAACCCCAGAACCCCTCCTTGAGTAAGATCCGCTGACAACCCCCCTCCAACCCTAGCTAATCTCAGCTGAACCCAGGCCACTCTTCCCAAAGGTAGCCTACAGACCTACCTTTGAAAACGCCAGTGTTGCTTCCCAATGGAGCTAAGACTGAACCGGGAAGCAGGAAGTTTACCTCGCCGCCCTAGATGAGTAGTGCAGAAGAAAATAGTAGTTAAGATTTTTATGAGCGCTCACTGGGCACAGTCCACTGTTCTCAGAGCTTTATATATTGGGCTGTTTGTTTTATCGCAGCAAGCTGGGTACTGGCCTAGTGAGTTGAAAATTTGGGTATATATTAGAGCAAATTAGCATAGAAATGGCATTGCCCTCCGTCTACAAGCGCAGGCCTGTGGGGCTCGGCCACAGTTTTCTTGCGTGGCCTGTATGGTAGATGATATGAGAAACAGGCCTTTTCTTTTCTACCGTCGCTCTCTTTAGCTCTGTTGTTAAAATGGTCTTATTCTGACATCTTCCACCTTTTCTAAAGCGGTCTTTAAGTATCTTAGGGCAGGGGTGAGGGGACCATGATAATATAGGACTCAAAGAGGTCTTTTTTCTTATATGAGACCTGTGCCTGTGAAAATGAACATCAGTAAGATCGACTACAAAATAGAAACTTAGTGACTATTGTTGAATTTAATGAAGAAAGCAACCTCTATGAATGGTTTTACTTTTTTTTTAATTAAATGTCACAGTTCCTAAATAGTGGTGGCTTTTCTTGTTGTAATTTTCCGTTGGCTTTGCATTTCTCTGAAATGGACATAATTGAACTCTCAAAATAGCCTCTAACTGAATATATTATTGCTTAAAAGAAAACCCATAAGCAAGCAACACAAATAAGCCCCATAATCCCTCCTTCTGTACCCTACCTCTGGAATCTAAAACCTGATATTCACATCAATAATACAGGGTTTCTCTTTGGTTCCGACTTTTTTTACATTCAACTGTGGGAGAGCATCGTCCATTATGTCAGATTCTTCTTAATTAGCTTTTGGAAATGAGACCCTTGGGCTTCATGCAGGTTTTGTAGTTTCTATAAGGAAAGAAAGTGTTCAGATGCCTTTGAGGACTGTTTTCAATTAGTAAAGAATAAGATGACATATAAATATTTAAAATTTCTGAACTATGGTCCCAATCTCTGGCCAGGCTCTGAACATTTTCTACTAAAGCTTAAATATGTGATTGAGGATAAGACAGCTTCACCTCGTGGTTCTCTACAATTATGTGCAATTAGGTTGAAGGGTTCTGACTGTGCTGTATGTATGTGTTTTCTTTAAAGCGAAGCCTGTGTGTGTATTTTCGCACACAAAATGTTCTACCTTTGCTTGTTAGCTGCTCTCAGCTTTGGTACATCATGGGCCATCAAGTGACCTTCCACCTTTTCCCTTTCATCAATGCTGATTGTATTGTCTTAAATTAGCCTTAAGGACGCTTCTGCCCCTTTTCCTGGTGAACTTGGGGCAGATCACTGAGGGGCTGGTATTTTCGCCCCTGTGGTCTTGCAAGTTGACAAACACACACTCATGTGTCATGTGAAGTCGGACCCCAGACATTCACCCTTGACACTAAGAGAAGGCATTTCTGCAGTAATCTTTCTAAAACCTAAAAGTATCTTGTTCTCTGAATGAAAAAGAGAAGGCTAAAGAAACTTCTCGGTAAATGGTATTAAGCAGGGCCTCACGAGGGAAGATTAACCAGTGATTGATTATCCCTCAAGCTTATCCCTGTGCGTCCGGAAGCACAGAGTATATTGTTGGTGATGTCATGTGTCAGCACTTCAGCAAGACAGACGCAGGGAGGATTGTGAGCATTTTGGTCGTGGGAAAACTATGGCAACCACACCTGAGGGGAGAAACACTATGTTGTGAAAAAATAAACAAGGATGTTAAAAAAAAAAATCCTTACATATGGAATAGAGTGAAACAATCCAAAGGGTTAGATAAAGCCAAATTAATAACAAACCCAGGAAATCTGACTGTAGAACTGAGGCTACCAGAGGGAGAGTGGGAGGAGGGAGAGCCAAGTGGGGAGGGGGCGCATGAACTATGGTGGCGGACTGTGGGTGCAGTCACACCGCCTGAAGGGGGAGAGCCCTCTAAAACACAAACAACATTATAAACCAGTGCAGTTACCTTGATAATAAAATGTTTTTAAAAATCCTGATTTTATACGTACCCCAGGGGTTAGGAGAGTGAGGAATCCATCTTCTCATCACACCTCAGTATTGCTTCTTCATCCCCTCTGCGGATGTGAAGACGCACTATGTAATAGAATAAAACTCAGTCAGCCCCCAGATGACAGCTCAGCCTGCAGGTGGTGCCCACCTGGCCCTCATTGAACCACCGTCCATCAGTGACCTGTGAACTGAGTGGTTCTCTCTTGCACAGATTCATCAATTATGAATTCAGCTTGTTTCATTTAGAACCAGAGTTCTCCCCTTTGGGCATGATTCGTGTTACTCACGGAATTATGTGAAACCCAAACAATTATCACCAGACACTAAACATATTCTTCAAATGGAGTTAGGAAGTCTGATTTCTATAAATGTGATCATGGTTTAAAGTCATGATAGAAGCAGGCTAGTTAAAAGACGCTTGGGTATTCTTTCAATAGGTGAATTGTATGGCCTGAGAATCATAGCACCATAAAGCTATTTTTCAAAAGCAACATAGGGTGGATCCTTCTACAAAATGAAGGCTTTGTGTATTACAGTGATACTATTCAGTTTTGCTTAAAGTGATAGCCGTGGTACCCGGCTTTCTCTCCGTTAAAGAGGGCCGGGCTGTGCATCAAATACAATGGCAGGCACTGTTGGGGGACTGAAAAGAAGTAGAAGCCCCCATCCCTGCCTTCCACAGAGATGGGACGATACTCTGTCCCACAAGAGGGATGTCTGTGACTGTATACACTGCTTTTGAGCGATTTTTAGTCCTTTGTTTGAGGAGCAGGTATGTTTGTGTTTTATAATCCGGCGAACTATTTATAGAAACAGCTCATGTTAAAGTATTGCTGTTACAGCTCACTCCCTCCTGTCTTCTGTTATTCCTAGCTACTGCAACAAGGACGTGTACAATAAGGAAAACCTTTTCAGCAACCTCAACTATGACGTGGCAGCCAAGAAGAGAAAGAAGGACATGATGAACAGCAAAACCAAAACTCAGTGTAAGCTGTTGGTTTTGAACTTAAGAAGAAAGCTGTTGGAGGATCACTTCGGTCGATTCCTTGAGAAAAGAAATCACACCTTGCATGTTAGACATCTGCTTTCATGTTTACTGTGTCACCAGCAGTGATGACCGAGCTCCTTACCCTCTGAAACCTGGCTGTGCCTTTTACAATGGGTCCTTACCGTCTTGTTTATAAGAGTTGCTAGCTGGAGTGCCCCCCCACCCCGCTTGTCATTCATATTTGGCATAGTTAATTTCATTATTATCCACTCCTGTGGTCCATGAAATCAGTTCCAAGTGTGTGCTTTTATTTTAAACTATGCTCTGAGGCTTTGAAAATATTTATTTCTCCCTCTTTCATTGTATAAAACCCTTAACAGTTCTAGGTGTTGTATGCACGTCTTAACAGAGAGGATAAAGTTCTATTAATATGCAGGCATTCCAGATGTTTAGCTTAGTCCATTTGGACAGCATGATTTCCTCGTGTTATCTGTTTTATTTCTACTTGCTATGACCTGTGTAAGTTATAGGCTTGGCTTTGAAAACAAACTTATACTTGGGTATTTGATTTTTTTTTCCTTTTAATTTAGAGCATTGGTATATAAATCTGATCATCAAAGACTTGCCTCGGATGAAGTAAACTAAAACTCCAACATTGACACGCTATAGAAATTAGGCCCTGGCTTCCTCTTCGGTTGTCAGCAGAGTCTGTATTTTTGTCAAAGCTTTTTACACTTTGGAGTAAAGTCAAAACGAAAACAGTTTAAAATCTTGGGCAAGTGACAGATTTTAAATGTGTATTATTTTTTTCTGTCTCTGTAGATTTCCACCAAGAAAAATGGATCTACGTTCACAAAGGAAGTACCAAAGAGGTGAGCCCCACCTATTAACTGAAAAGTCTACTCAGCCTCACGCCTCCCCAGGAGGGTGTGGGGGATATTGGGTGATAGTATTATGCCAAGTCATGATTGTCTTCTGTGGGAGGGAAGAATGGCTAGCCACCTACGTCCTAGCCAACCATCAGAGTTTGGGGAGAGAGGAATGGGGTAGGGGGCAAAGTCACTACATGGCCTCCGGTTCATTCAGTGAGGTAACGGAGGTAAAAATTAATGTGAAGATTAATGTGCCCATCTAACAGCTATTCGTTAACAGCCCTGGCCTTGCCTTAGAACAGAACCTACATCTCTACACATCACCTCACATAAGTGTGGGCACTGAAAGTAAGGGCTATTCCCTAAATTAGTTTTCAGCATCTGCTTGTGTGAGGTAGGCCTAGGAGTGGGAGCAGACCATAGCCACACTGGCATGGCACTTTAGAAACCCATTTTATGTCTTTTTTCTCTCTGCACAGGCATGTGTTCTGATAACTAGGATGCACGGTGATGTGATAGAATAAGATTTCTGTCATAGTCAGCTATCTTAGAGGACGCCTGTGGTTTGAGGAGAGGAGAGAGGCTCAACAATACACCCCACTAGAGCTGGCCTCTATGAGTCAGCACGGCTCTCTAGTCCCAGCTCCTCGTGAATTCATAGATAAAAGAGCAAAACATTTGCTCCTCAGTAAGCCTTAAAAATGTTTTTGATGAGAATAGCACGGGCAATGCAGCCAGGTGGCAGTAGAGGTGACACAGGTAAGTCTGCTGCTCCTCCCAGGGGCATTGACGGGCCAGCCATGGTCACCTCACACACTCCACAGCTGGGAGGTGTTCAGTGCCCAACTGCTCCTTGATAAGCAGCAGCTTAGAATTTTCCCATTCTAGAGAACCAGGGGTAAAGGTCACAGTGAGGGTGTTTGCACTGCCAGCTGTGTGGCTCCCAGGGGTTCTCAGAAGGAACTTACATGACAAAAAAAGAAGCAAATGACCATTGGTTACCTAGGATGGGGTCAAGCTTGCTGGGCGGGGTCCAGGTGGATTGTTAGGAGAATGAGCTCTGTGTGGCAGGAGTGACCTCTGCACACTGTTTTCACATCCAGCGCCATGGCTACTGCACTCTCGGGGAAGCTTTCAACAGACTGGACTTCTCAACTGCCATTCTGGACTCCAGGAGGTTTAACTACGTAGTGCGGGTAAGTCCCAAGCACCCAGTGGCTCATCCAAACTCTTTCCCAAGTTGATTTGTTTTTTTCAGGTTGTCTTGAAGTAGGTTGCCTCCCCCCAAAATTAACTTTCTGGGGATTTTGAGGAACACAGAAAATGGACTCTTCAGCCTCCTTCTCTTCCCCCGTCAGACCTCAAGTTCTCGTGTGAATCCTATTAGGATGTCCTGAGATTGGCCCCCACAAACAGGGGCAGCGTCATACCTCATGAGAGCCACTCCCAGCCCCCCTGGGTAGACGACAACCCTATGTTGGGAAAAAAAAGTTTAACGAACATTAGCAAGATATTCATGACAAAGATAAGCCAGCAAGTCAGTCTAACCCTGAGCATCAAGTCAGTGATCCTCTTTGTTGTTGGCCTCCCTCTCTCCCCTGAAGCGCCTTCTGCATTTTCTGGCTGTGGGTCAGCCTGACAGGCAGCAACTGTTTGGGTCTTAGGTTTGGAAGTAGAGGGACTTGTCCCCTGGTGGTGTGGCTTGGTTTGGCTTTTATTTTCCTTCTGCTGGGTTGTTGTGCTTCCTACTGCCGAGTCATTGAGTCAGATGATTGCAAAAGCTCAGCCAGAGCTATGACATTCAAGCCCCCTTGAGGCCTGGATGGCTTACCTGTCATCTGGGCAGATGCGGCCTGGCCAGCCCAACTGACCTGATAAAAGTGACCTCCTGGAGGGTGAGAAGCGCCGAACTGAGCCCATGAGCGCAGGACCAGATCCTTCCACTTCTCAGCTGTGTTCTTATTCCTGTCCAAAAGAATGAAAGTAAAACAGCTTCTAAAATGTTCATGCCATTCAGGGTGACTCTGCCACTTCCGGGAGGTCACTGTGACCCTTGCACTGGCTGGATAGAGACGGGCCCAGCAAGATGTGGGAGTTCTGTTGCTGAGAATATAAATAGTTTTTGTATTCTCGGTATTAAACAAAGACACCAGATCTGATGTCTTGCTTACCAATTGGTCAGTCTTGAGATGATTCTCCTTCCTATGTGTTTTTCCTTTCATAAGAATAAAGCATGGGATCAAGGATCCTAATAGCGAAAATCCTAGTAGAAAAAATCCTAATGCAATTATGTGCATTATCTCCTTTTTTTTCAGTAGTCCTATTATCTGTTTACGCAAATGGTAGCACAGCAAGGTAAAATGACTAATTCTAGGTCACAAATCTACACAAGCAACAGAATCAGGATCTGAAATCCAAGGAGTCTTAGAGCCCACAATCAGCTGCTACAGTGACTGCTGTGTCTGAGGGTTGTCAGATGCCAGCTCCACCACTTTCAAGCTGTTCCAAATTTTCTAGCACTCATGCCCCCCTCTGTGAGGATTTACAGTAACCTCAACTTCGTAGAGCCACTGTGAGACCCACATAGTGACATACTATGTGACATACTATAGGAAGCACGACAGGCCTGAACCTATTATGCAAAGCCAGTCACTAATACTTATTATTACCTACTTAGCAAATTATGGTTGATTCTCCCCAAAATGCCTTCAATTTAGTCAATTAAAATGTTTTTCTACTCTAAAGAAAATGCACTGGGGAATCATGAATTTGAACTTGGGTCTGATGGTTGGTATCTAATTGAAAAATATATCAGCTGCACATTCCCTTAAATCATCTTTAAATTAGAGAAACTGCTGGATGCTTTCAAAGTCTATAGGCTCAGAAATAACGGGAAAATACTGCTCTTTTGGAAAGGACGATCTTTTTTTCCCCCTTCCCTGTTAGAGTGCTCTGTAATTTAAGAAATAATATGTTATTTTTGTAAAGAGCTTAAAACCTTTTAATGATAGGCACCATATTTTGAGGTTTTTCTTCTGAGGAACTCAGTACACTTCTTATATATTCTCCTTATCCTTGAACCAACTTTGCAAAGCAGTTTGTGCCAGTGTGTTATCCCCCAACTCACTACTTTGGCCTAATGGTTTTTTAATGCTACGATAATTCCTTAGTTCCAGGAACAAACTGACCCAACTTTGAAGGGCTTTTTAAAAAAATTATATCTCTTTAAAGTCAAAGTATGTTTTTTAAAAATGTGTCGTGTTCATGCTGATTGACATGTTCAGAAACAGAAACATGCAAAAGGAAGCATGAGTTGGCCCATGTGCAATCTCGAAATGTTATCGTTTTTGTCAGTAAGTCTGAACATTCTGTGAATTTTTGGAATCAAACATTCTGAATATAAATTGGAGACACTGTCATCTAGCACATTGTACCTTTCTTTAGTGGGTTTCCTGTTCCAACTCATCCTCTCTGCCCTTCCCCTTCACACCCCCCTATGTCTGAAATACAACTTTAACTGTGGGTTTTAAAGATGACTTTAAATCTTTAGAAGCAGCAACTTACCCATTTATGAAAGGCCATTTTCAAAATTGGTTTTCACCCTGCCTCAAGACCAACAACACATTTGGGAAGTTCCCTGTGGGGAGCTGGAAAGGATTACAGGGGCAGGACTGGTGGTGGGTGGAAACTTGGTTACTGTGAGGAAGTCAGTGCTGACTCACTCCCCAGGGCACCAAGAGGCTAATGGAGAAAGGATCCAGTAAGAAAAGGATCAGACACCACACAGCCACTCACAGCTCTAGCGAGCCTGCTGTGATGCAGTGATCTCAATCCTGGATGCTCAGAGACTACTCACTGCAAACCCTGTTGGTCCAGAGAGGCTGACATCTGTGCAGGCACTGCTACTTCAGAAATAGCTGCCAAGTGACCCCAGCGTGTTTTCAAGTTTGCATTCCAGCTCAGAAACTACTTGGGAGCCCATGTGCTATATTTTGCCTACTGAGTTTTTAAACAAAGGTATTACCTGATGGAGCTGGCTCTGGGCATGTACAGAGTCTACCAGGAATTCAGAGATAGGAAGAGGAAGCCCCTCCACATTCTGATCTTAAAGTTTGAAGCTCTTTAGCTGTGGTGCCTTCTGAAAATCACTTTACCTCTCTAAGTTTAGATCTTCAGATAAAGCTAGGATAATCATACCTGAATTGAGCATTTTTGTGAGGATGCAAAAATGTCGTGGATGTCAAAATGTCACATCAACTTTCAAAATGCATTGTTACTTATTTCTCAGGAAGAATTCAAGCATTTGCAACCATCTTTCCTGGGTTGCTAAGACCAGAAATCTCAATTTGTAGGCCAGATACAGTTGAGGCAAAGACCGACTTGGAAGGAGAATTTTAAAGAATTTAAAGTCTTAAAATTCTTATGTCCTCTTGGGTGAGGTTCAATAACAGAAACACAGACATTTACCCAAACAACTACCCCCGCTCTCTAGTGAGTCATTTGAGAAAACTATATTCTTGGGATAAGATGGAATTCAGATAAAAGTGAGCAATACCAATAAAAAATAAAAACGACTCAAGTAGGCATGGCACCAACAGTTCTTAAGGGCCTGCTATGCTGAGTGTAAGGCGAAGTGGAGCTGGAACGTGAGCTCAGACTTGCTTGACTCCAAACCTGTGTTGTTTCGCCCAAGCCCTGCCACTAGCCAGGGAGGGAAGCAGAAAGACAAAATAGCTGAGACCCTACCTAGGGCTCTGCCAAAGGGGCCAGCCAGCTCCTGGTCATCATGCCAGGACAGCCTACGGCCTGGTTTCTTTAGTTCCATTTTATTTATTTGTTTTAATTGAAGCAACATTGGTATGCATCATTGTTTGTGTATTAGAAGTATAGCTCGTCCCCCAGGTGTGGTTACCACATCCCATCCACCACATCCTATCCTCCACCATAGTCCACTGTGCTACCTCATATCTTGCTAGTGCCCCTCCCCACTGGTTGCCTCAATTCTATAGTCAGCTTTTTAGGGGTAGTTTTTTATCAGATCTTTTGTTTGGTTTCTCTAAGTTCATAAGTGGCACCATTCAGCATTTGTCTTTTTCTTTATTTCACTTAGCGTTACCCCCTATAGCTCCCTCTATGTTGCCACAAATGGTAAGCGTTTCTCTTTGTTGATAGCTGAGTGACAGTCCATTGTGTTCATATACCACATTTTCCTGATCCACTCATCTGTACTTGGGCACTGAGGTGGTTTCCATAGCTCAGCTGTTTTAAATAGTGCTTACTGCCTGTTTTTGTAAGGACCACGAGCTGAGAATGATTTCAGGAAAGAAGTATATTTCATAGCACATGAAAATTTTGTGAAACTGTACGTATGTAAATTCTCATAAGAGACATTTTATTGGAACACAGTTCTGCTCATTCGTAATACTATGGCTGTTTTCATGCTAAATTTACAGAAGAGTTGAGTTCAGAGCTGAACAGAGACCTTATAACCTGCTAACCTAAAATATTCCTTTATCTCACTCTTTATTAAAAAAATTTCTAATCCCTGCTCCACAGTCTGAAGAGTGACCTAGAAATATGCATTAAAGGAAATGGCTTGATGCCATGAGGCACCTTCCAAGACGTGGTAGAGCCAGATGGGCTATAAATCATCAGACGGCGGGGAGCCTATGGGTAGGATTCTGTGGTGGAGTGAAGATGGGGTCTGGAGTAGGGGGATATTTCAGGGGCAGCTCTCAGGTCTGTTCAGAGACCAGTGAGCAGAACAGTCTGGACAGTAGCACAGCACTTTAAAATACACGCTCGGGGCCTCCCTGATGCGCAGGGGTTAAAGACACAGCGCTATCAAGTTATTATCAGCCACTGTGGTCTGAGTTCGATCCCTGGCCAGGGAGCAACCCACATGGTGCAGCAGACCTCTCCTGTCTCACCCGCTGTTCCCCTTAGCAGTGTATTTCAATGGATCTGCGTGTTCTGTTCCCCACTCTGTTTCTGGTGAATCCCCCCACATGCTCCCCCACCCACCTCTGGCCTATACTCCAGTTCTTGTATGCATAAATAAATATTAAAAAAAAAAACACACTCAGCTAATGGTTTGCCCATGCAGCTTGACCCATACCAAGTTACATATGACCTTGGACAAGCCTCGCTCACTCATAAAACAGGAATGATTATAAAATCGCCCTTCTCAGAGACA